AAGATTAAACTTACATGTAAACACATTTGTAGTATTATAAATCAATATAACTTGCTCATATAGGAATGGTCTGAGAAAAGGATATTCCCAGGAAGAAGGGCTAAAATCTTATCCCAGCTTTCTTTATTTTCAAGAATATCTTGATCAACCAAGGCATATTCTTCAAAGTATTTTTTAATTATGTTTATAGATCTTCTGTAGGAATAACAAAGTCCCAATAGTATAAACAACATATATAACTTTAGTTATTGTTGCCATTGGGTGGGAGGTTACTGCTTACTTTCTCTGAATTTCTAGAACTTAACTAGGTAAGATGGGAATAATACCCCTTTACTATGCTATGAGTTAAAAATAAGACACTTGAAGGGGAAAGAACCTAGCATAGTAGCTGGCACAGGATTAATATTCAAGAAATATTTACTTCTTTTTTTTTTTTCCAGAAATGCTTACTTCTTAAACTCTACAACCAAGTAGTTTAGTAGCATCATAAAAGTGCAACAGCATAGAAAGTAACCCAGTGCAACATATCAGTATTAGAACGTGGGACAGTCTATAGTCTCTGAATTGCTCGCTTTAACATCTCAAGTGTGTAGTGCTTATACTTTGCAAATACACTTCACACCTACTGTGCCATTTAATCTCTGCTACAATTCTGTGAGACAAGTACAGCAGATGTCCTGTCCATCATATAGACAAGAAAGTGGAGGCTTCACATTTTATCAAGTTTATATTTGCAGCAGGACAGGAGTTCTTCTAATGGAATGCTTTTTCCGCTATCCTAGAGAAGTAGTGAATTCAATAGAAAAAGCCTGGGCTTTGGAGTTAGGCCCATGAATGCTAAATGTAACAACTATGTGATGCCAAGCAAATGATATAATCTCTCTAAAACTCACTTTCCTCATTTGTAAATGGGTTATTGTCATGTCTCTCATGAAGTTGTTGTGAAGGCCTAGAAGAACAATTGTAGAAGCTATCAGGAATACTGCAGCATAAATATGCATTCAGCTAATTGTTGCTATTATTATTATTATAAAATACTACCCAGCTGTAAAAATTGATAGCAAGATAATTCTTTTTTTTTTTGGTACCGGGGATCGAACGCGGGTCCTTGCACTTGCGAGGCGGGCAGCAGAACCACTAAGCTAAATCCCCGGCCCCCAACAATAACAATCTTTTTAATGGAAAGCTCAGGTCATGAGAGGCCAAACATCCAAGGGAGGAAGAAGAAAATTAAATCAAGATGAAGATAAAAATTAATCAAAAGGCACTATATGATACCACCTAAAACCTACTACCCTGGAGGAAGCAGGCTAAGGAAGATTAAGCTACAGCAAATTATCTAATGTGAATGTTAGTGATGAAAAAGCAGGAAGCAAGTCATTTGGGCCCAAGGGGATATCTGGCCAAGAAAAGGTCGAAATGGCTATAGGTAAAGCCAAATAGAAAGGAATAGGTAGGAGAATCCAAACTATATAGGCATGCAGATGATGACAGGGCAGATTTCTTCCTCCCAAGAAAGATTTGCTGTACTTTATTGTCTATCCCCTTTCCCACTTTCACAATCCCACCTAACAGCTGATAGCAAGACAATTCTAAAAGCACATGCAAACAAATCAGATACAACTTAATTGGAATCTTTCCAACAGACCTGACAAAAGGGTGAATTTTTTCACTTAGGTGAACTTTCTTTTTAACGTCCTGGCCACCCTGAAAAATAAAAGAACAAAAGAAAACAACTTATGTATATTATATAACAAATAGAATAATTAAAAATTTCTGGGCCGAGGATTTAGCTCAGTGGTTTCGCTGCCTGCTGCGTAAGCGCAAGGACCCGAGTTCAATCCCTGTTACCAAAAAAAAAAAAAAATTCTTTATTGTATTTCATTTACATTTAAAAGTATGTAACTTCATAGATAAATTAATTTTTTTATCAAAGGAAGATACAGCAAATATGAAATATCTTAAACAATGTAGCTACAATAGCTTTATTTAAAAAAAATAGGGCTGGGGATTTAGCTCAGTGGTTCCGCCGCCTTCCTCGAAAGCCCAAGGACCCTAGTTCGATCTCCGGTACCAAAACAAAAAAAGTCCGTGTTCGATCCCTGGTACCCCTCCCCCCGCAATTCCATTATTTTCATAGATGAGGTCTTGCTATGTTGCTCAGGTTGTTCTCAAATTCATGGGCTCAAATGATTCTCCTTGTACAGTGTTCTGAATATTGGGACTGCAACCAGGTCTAACCATGCCCAGGTTGCTACTAGGACTTTAAATGGTAAGATCGTCTACTCTGGAATGTGAATGCTATAAAAACAGCTTTAAAAAATAAAATTGGTTTTTGTGGTCCTAGGGATCAAACACAGGGGCACTGCACCACTAAGCTACATCCATATCCCCCTTTTTTTGGTACCAGGGATCAAACTCCGGACCTTGTGCTTGTGAAGCAGGCGGTGGCACTACTGAACTAAATCCCCGGCCCAACCCCTTTTTAATTTTATCTTGAGACAGACTAAATTGCCCAGGCTGGCCTGGAACTTGTGATCTTTCTGATTCAGCTTTCTAAGTAGCTGGAATTCAGGCATGGTGGCCCATGCTTGGCTTTTGTTTTGAGACTGACAGGTCTTGCCCAGGATCATCTCAAATTTGTGATTCTCCCTCCTTAGCTTCCCAAGGATCTGGGATTACAGATGGGTATCATTGGTTCCAGCGAGACAGCTTGAATTTTTGTTACTAAGCAAGCCAGGGTTGGTATCATCTAGTAAATAAAGCAATGTAAATAATTAAGAAGTCCTTACCTTTACAAGGCTCAAATATTCAACTATCCCAGAACGTACTCCAGAGGACAATTTTCTAACTGATTCATCACAGACCCAACAATGAACGCCTCTCCTTCCAGAATAAACCCAGAGACGATGCTTAAACCCAAAGTCCTCTGTGGAGGGGAGAAATAAATAATAGGTTTTAAGAAAATGTATAAATGTCTAATTCTTGCTTACTTCCTTAGCTTCATTTTTTATCTGTTCACATATACTTTCATGTAAACCATATTAAATTACCTATTTATTGTGCCTCTCATGTTTTTGCCTTCATGTCTTTACCCATACTGATATTCCTGCCAAGAATTTCTTTATGCTCAGCACTTTCATTTGTCCCTGACCACTGGTGATTTATCCTTAAAAATAACCTAGGAATATTAAATGAATTAATACATTTAAAGTATTTAGAACAGTGCCTGGCACATAATAAGTCCTCTATGTAAGAGTTAACTATCATTATCACCACCTCTTCTATGAAGCTTTTTATGACTCAATCTTCTGTTCCCATTTTTTTTTTTGGTACTAAGGATTGAACCTAGGGCTTTTGCACTAAACTCATGGCCCCCACTCCCTCGAACTTTTGTGACAGGCTGGGCTTGAATTTGTGATCCTCTTGTCTCAACCTCCTAGAGTGGTGGAATTACAGGTGTCTGCCACCACAGCTGTCTGTGCCAATTCCTATATGCATTCCTGGTGTTCTATAACCCCATAGGTCCCTATGTATATTACTTCATAAATGTGATCCTCAATTTTTTGTTTCCTTAGACTGTGTAACCTACTTGTGCTAAGAATTGTTATCTTTTACACTTCTTTCATTTAGAACAGTACTTAACAAAGTTGTTCAATAGAGGACTGAATTGGGAGAAAATACAATGGTTTGTTCAACAGCTATATTAAAGTTTCCACTATAATTTTATTTGTTCTTTGGAGGTAATGGGGATCGAACCCAGATTGAGTTACATTTCCAGCCCTTTTGTAAATTCTCACTAAGTTCCTAATTTGCCTACCTAGACTCTCCCAACTTGTGATTTTCCTGCCTCAACTCCCAGAGTGCGGGAATTACAGGGATACGACTACAACTTTGTTCTTATTTGCTTTATTTTCCTCTCAAATGTTTCAAGGAGACATATTAGAAATTTATGAGATTTGACTACAAAATACAGAGACTAATGTTCAGAGAAGAGATTCTTGCATTTGACCCCACTCAGACACTACTGATACTTGCCCTTCAGTGCTCGGTCAATGATGTGTATGGCCATTGTCATGAGGGTCCAGCACTTGGAGCATATGTCTGCGGAGCTGGAACAGAGTCACCATTACTTATTGTCACTGATACCTTCCACCCCAACAGCAAGGCACATGGTCCTTACCTACAGCATCTCCTCACATCATCATAGTCTGTCATGTCAATGTCAAATACCAGTTCTTTTTCCTGAGCCTGGAAGGCTCCCAGCTTCACTGCATTGTGTTGACTGGGCTACGAATATAAAATATCAATTAGTTTCTATAAGAGCTGCTATGTTATTAAGATTGCTTATTTTCTACTCACATGGAAAAAAATGACCAAAGAAAAATAAAACTAAACAAACAAACAAAAAAGAAATACAAAACTATATGACAGGTCTATGTCAATTAAAGTTCATTACTTTGGAGCCCACTCATTCAGAACTTATGATAGTTTTAATTTTTATCTATTTAAAATAGTATGGGGCTGGGGATTTAGCTCAGTGGTTCTGTCGCCTGCCTCAAAAGCACAAGGTCCCAAGTTCGATCCCTGGTACCAAAAAAAAAGAAAAAAAATTAGTATGATGAGTATATAGCCACTATAAATATTTGTTGATTGATAGAAATAATAATAAAGTTATTTTTAGGTTTCTGATAAGGAAAAATCCATATACATAATGTCCTATTGCAAGTTGTTTTAAAGACCTTTCCTTATAAATATGGTATAAGTAACAAATATGTATTTATTTTAAAATTTTCAATAATTTAAAAAGATCTTCCCAATTAGTTTGAAGTGAGTCCTTATTGCAATCCTTCTGCCTCAGCCTCCCAAGTGCTGGGATTATAGGCATGTACCAACATGCCCAGCTGAGATCTTATTATTAAGAGGCTATACTCTTCTAGGTAAAGAAAGTGAACTGAATGTGTCTATTTCATTTGTTTCCTCCAAACTCACAAAAAAAGCTATTTTTTTTGGTGGTACTGGAAATTGAACCCAGAGCTTTTGCACTTAACTACAGACCTATTTATTTATTTGTTTGTTTTTGAGGCAGGTCTCTGCTATGCAGTTCAGGCTGGCCTTGACTCGATGATTCTCCTGCCTCATCCTCTAGAATGCTGGGATTACAGGCATGTACCACCAGGCCAGACCTTTTTATTTTGAGACAAGGTCTTGCTAAGTCACTGAACTGCCCAAGCTAGGCTTAAACTTTCAATCCTCCTGCTTTAGCCTCCCAGAGTGCTGTGATTTCAGGGGTGTACCACCATGCCTGGCTCCAACTGTAATTTTTTATTTAATTTTTACTTATTGTTTTGAGACAGGATCTCACTGTGAAGCCCAGGCTGGCCTTGAACTCATGGCAATCCTCCTGCTTCAGCCTCCTGAGTGCTGGGATTACGGCACTACCATGCCACCATGCCTGGCTACCTCCAATTTTTAATCTGATAAAAATTATATCAAGAGCATGTAGGCTGTACTTGTGGAGAGGGCTAAATCCTCATCTGTCAGAGCAAAACATCAGTAGGCATTGCTTAAAATAGAAAAATGAAAGAAATATAAGCCTGTTATTTAGCGAAAAGGAAGTAAATATCATAAGAATCCGCTAAAAGAAACTGGCTAGTTCTGGGTAGCAGGAAATGGTTGAAGAGGTAGAATATTTGATTTTTAGCCTAATGGAAGTATTTTATTTTTTTTGGGTACTGGGGATCGAACTCAGAACCCTGTGCTTGCAAGGCAGGCGGCAGAACCACTGAGCTAAATCCCCAGCCCCTGGAAGTATTTTATTTTTATAACCTCTACAGGCATATATAACTGACAAAAATCACAAAGAAAACACAAAAAGAAAAGTCTATAGATGATTCTGTCTTGAACCAATTAGAAAGAAAAAAATGTCTGGGTGTGGTGGTGCATGCCTATAATTCCAGCACTCTGGGAAGCTTAAGTAGGAGAATTACAAGTTTGAGCCCAGCCTGGGCAACTTCGTGAGATCTTGTCTCTAAAGAAAAGGTCTGGGAGTATAGCTCAGTATGAATGCCCTAGGTTCAAACCGCAGCAACACAGACACAGACATACACACACAAGAAGACTTTTTTCTTCTCTCAGTATTAGGGAAAAAGAAAGTAGAGTGGTACTCTGGTCTTTCTTTAGTTTCATTCTAACCTCTAAAGAGTAATAATTTCCAAAGCATTTTCTTACTTTTCTCCTTACTCTAACAACAGTAAGTCTGGGGTTGGGTCAGAAAAACTGGAATCAAGTCCTACCTATATTTAGAAATTGTGTAATTTTGGGTAAACTATTAAGTTCTCCAGGCCTGTTTTCTTCTTTGTAAAAAGAATGAGGCTTGATAGGAGGAACAAGTATATATATATATATGAAAACTCCATCTAAAAGTGGTTTATTTTGGTTTGTTCATTCATTCAACAAATATTTATGGTGTACTTTGTCTTCCAGGAACTATTTTAGTCACTTAGGATATAACAGTGGCAAGGGTGGGAGGAATAGCAGGTTGTCCTAGTGCTGAGTAAAGACTTGAAAGAAGGGAGGGAATGAATTCAAGTAGATACCTGAGGAAATGGATTTTAGGCTGTAGAAACAACCTAAGCAATGCAAAGTGTGACATGAGTAGACCAAGTGAGGAGAGCTAAAGAGTTCTGAGTATGAGTGACATCATGGGGACACTAGAGTATGGTTTTGAGCAGAGGAATCACAGAATCTAAGCTGCTTCAAAAGGATCCCTTTGCGATCCCCGGTACCAAAAAAAAAAGGTCCCTTTGGCTGCTCTGTTGAGAATGGACTCCAGTCTACAGCATGAACTGCTGGCTTCTCACAGTAATTCAGATGAGAGATGGTGGTGGTAGCACTGGGAATAGCAGCTGGACTTTAGGAATGTATTATTTGGTTTTTTTTGGTACCAGGGATCAAACTTGGGTCCTTACACTTGCAAGGCAGGTGCGGTTCCACTGGGTTAAATCCCCGGCCCTATTTCTTAGTGGAACCAGTACAGGAGTTTAAGACAGGATTCAAAAATAATTCCAGTACTGGGAAAGAATATAATTTTCTTGTTTTCCTCTCTTAAACCTTACTGAGTTCCTCATTTACCCTCTTAGCCAGATACTCATTTTTTTTTGCTTGCTATGTAGTTCAGGCTGGACATGAACTTACTATGTAGCCAGGCTGGTCTCCACGGTGGTCCTCCTGCCTCAGCCTCCTGACTGCTGAGATTGCAGGTGTGTGTCACCATGCTCAGCTTCAGTGTTTTTTTTTTTTTGTACTGCTGAGAATGCTGAGAACCAATTTACTTCCAAATGATTTCCAGTATTGTGTCAAAGAACAAAGATGATTACAATTCACTTGTTTAAAAATGTGGATTTTCAACTACAATAAATTCTAATAAAATTTTAATCTCAAAACTCTGGTGGCACCAATGCTTGATTAATAAAACAACAAAATACATACACAAAAAGATTTCTTACTCTGTGGGAATATACTGCACCTATATCAATCTTGTATGGATTCATTTTCTGCATTTCCTTTTCCAGATCACTCTGACTGTTGAAGGATTGGTAGCGAATGTAAATATCATCTTTCAATGTGAATGAAAATTCACGGTTTTGAAAGTAATTCTTTACCACTGCAAAACAAGTATGCATTTTAGAATATTGTATTTTATTCAGCTTAGGGCATTATAACATTAGCCAATGGAAGATTTTTTTTTTTGGTACCGGGGATCGAACTCGGGACCTTGTGCTTTTGGGGCAGGCGGCAGAACCACTGAGCTAAATCCCTGGCCCACCCGGAAGATATTTTTAATGAGCCCCTGTGCTCAACACTGTTCTAGATGTGAAAAGATAGAACCTAGTCCTCAATTTTAAGTTTACCATTCCATATTTGCTAGGAAAAAGTAATAATGAGGAGAAAGATAAGTATTATAAATATGCAATGCCACCTCTTTCTCTTTGGTAGGCACTAACAAATTCAGCTGAGGACGAAAGTACCCCTTTTCCTCCTCAGACCCTGATGCAGATCAAGCCTCTGAAGCGTTATGCCAGGACCTAGTTAACCCCTGGACGCCGGGGCGCAGTAGGCTGTGTTCATTAGATTCTCGCTCAGCCTTTTACACCAGTGAGGTGGGCAGGATAGAGATAGTAGTATTGTACAGGATGAAATGCAGCTACTCGGGAGGCTGAGACACGAGGATCCTAAATTTGAGCGCAGCCTGGGCCATTTAGCGAGACACTGTCGCAAAAATAAAACAACAGAAACGGCTGGGAATGTAGCTCAATGGTAGAGTGCTTCCTTAGTATGCGCGAGACCGTGGGTTTCATCCCCAGCACTACTATCAAAACAGGGGACTGAGGCATCCGCCACAGTTCCCAGAGCACTTGATAATTGTCAATCTAAGTATGCCCTGCTCGGAAAGTCTCACTTTGCTCCAGACTCTATCCATCCCACCCCCAGCCTCCATCACCTCCGCCGTAGTTGAGCCAGCGATAGTACTGGGCGTAGGGAAAGAGCCTCCGGTAATACAGTTTGAGCAGCTCTGGCAGCTCGGCGGGATCAAACGACTCCATTACAGCGGAACTCCTAGTCAGGATCACTGGAAGAATTGGCGGGAACTACGCAGCCGGAGGTTCCGCCAGTACGCAGGCGCGTTGAGGCCGCGGCCAGTGTCTGCCAGGGCCGCTGGGAATTGTAGTTCCCACAGCCCGCCGGAGTCGCAGGTCTCCGCCCACTGGCCGGGACAAGGCGGGGTTCACCCGCAGCTTCCGGGTTCAAGAGATCGCGTCCTCTCTAGAAACAGTGTCTCGGGGAAGGTGAAACCCTTGGATGTTGATTTAGGTTATCAAAATACATTTAAAAAGATGTCCTATGCAAACTCTATGAATGTTCTAGAAAAAACCCACCAATATCTTTAAAAATAGGTGTCTATGCATGCCTGTTATCCCAATACTTGAGGCTGAGGAAGATCACAAATTTGAGCCCAGCCTGGGTAACTCGCCGAGACCCTGCAAATAAAAAAGGCAGGGGATGTAGCACAGTGGGAAGGCCCTGGTTTCAATCCCTGGTTAGTACGTCTCCAGTAAACTACTAGTAGCCTAAACCTGAACACCTTCACGGTCTTCCCAACTCTTCTGGGTAAAATGATCAACAATGGGCTTCAGTCAAAACATAGTTATTTGAAAATCCCCGGATATCCTCTGCAGAATTTAGTTGGTTTTCCCATCCTCTATGCATCATCCTGTTTTGGGTCTGGTGAATTTCATTGGTGGCAGGATTTTCATTCCAACGATCGTAACAGCTTTGCTTTGCAGTGTTCTTGTCTGCAACCACATTGCTACTTGCCTCTCCCTTTTTTTTTGCTTCATTCTTTCTTTTCTCACTTTTTTTTTTTTTTTTTTTGAGGTACTTGGGATTGACTCTAGGGCCTTAGCACTGAGCAACATCCCCAGCCCTTTATGCCCTTTATTTTTTATTTTCAGGCAAGGAATTACCAAATTGCTACATTGCCTGGGCTGGGTTCAAATTTGGGATACTCCTGTCTCAGCCTTCCACAGTGCTGGGATTACAAGTATGGCCCTCCTCTATGGAGGTTTCTTATGTTCCTTGTTGCTGCCTTTAGTAATTTTCTTTGATTCTTCTAATTCCAGGCTGCTAAGGAGGGCAGGACTTTAAGGAGCTAAGACAAGGAGAGAAAGCAAAGGAAATTACACATAGCATGCCAGTTGCTGAAGCAAGAGTTTTGCAAAAGAGGATTTACTTATGTAAGAAACAATAGCTGTGTCTTTTTTATCAAACAAGAGTGGCTCCATTTTGGACTCTAGTCTACCATAGGTGGCCCCTCCCAAACACACCAAGTTACCAGAAATGCCTGCTCAGTTTAGACTCAGGGAACACAGCTAACAGGTAAAGATAACTTACCAACAGCCAAGGACTTTGAGTGCCCCATTCTCCCCCTCTCTCCTCCTTTAACAACCCTGCCCAGCAACCCTTCAAGCAGCTTAAACTAGCCAATCGGGATAGATTGTAAACCTTCAACCCAACCAATGGGGGAAAAGGTCAGCTGCTTCTCCTGTATTAGAGATAAAAGGGGCAACCCTCCTTTGTCCTGTGCACCTGCTACCTCATTGTTGTGGTGTGCTTGCACGCTTTTTTTTTTTGGTACCGGGGATCAAACGCTTGCACCCTTTTGCAAAAGCAAAAAGCCTTATTGAGATTTCTTGGTGTCTGAGTGTTTTTTTTATCTGCATCGACAAATTGAATCTGGGGGTTTATTTCCAATATTAACAAGACTGACAAACAGGAGGAGGTGGGAGCCCTGTTGCAAATCCACTTGCTGAGGGAGATACGGTTTAGGGTTATTTACGGAATTAAGAAACCACTGTCTGGCAAGATTAGTGTTAAAAGCAAGTTACTAAAAACAAGAGAAGTGAGATGGTTTATTCAGGTTTCACCTCAGTTTCCTTTCTTCTCTATATGGTTGTTGAATGTTTGTGCCTCCCTAGAATTTCTGTGTTGAAACCTAGTCATCATGTGATAGTATTAGGAAGGGCTGTGAGGTATCACTTTTGCCTATACTCAAAGCCCAGGCATCTGAGGGCATCTGAGGACTCTTAAGGAGAGGACTCTGTTCACAGTTATCTAAGAATGACTTAACATACTTAACCACGCATGTGCAACATGGACAAGGTCCTGCAGCATGTGTTCAGTCTCTCCATGTCTCAGTTCACTGTTAAGACACTATAACTCCTGTAAACTAAAGAACAATGTAACCTTTTAGTAACTGTGTTTGATATGTAGCTGTTAGCTGTCTTTGCTGTTTTGCTGAGGGATAGAGACACCCAGCTCTGGAGCTCTGGAGTTGCAACTCCAACTCTCATGCTCTGATGCTGCCCTGATGCTTGTTTCTTTTTTTTTTTTTTTGGTACCGGGGATTGAACTTGGGACCTTGTGCTTTCGAGGCAGGCGCTGGAACCACTGAGCTAAATCCCCGGCCCTGCCCTGATGCTGATGATTGACTCTTGGCATGTGTTGTTCTTATTGGGGAATTAACTAACTCACTCACAAAGAACTAGGTAAGACTAAGCAGACCCTTCTCCATGTGCCTGCTGGGGAGGCTTGCCCTCAGGCCTCACAGGGAGAGCAACTGGGGCATAATCAGCTCATGAAGTCTCTACTCTCATGAACAAGATAAGAGCCCACATGAGGCCCCAGACAGCTGCCTTCTCCTTCCACAGGTGAGAACACAGCTAGGAAGGATCATCTAGGAACTAGGAAGCAGTTCCTTACCAGTCACTGAACCTGCCAGCACAGTTTTCTTGGGCTCCCAGGTGCCAGAACTGTGAGAAATAGATTTTTGTTGTTTTTAGGCCATCTTATTCATGGTCTTTAGTCACACCAGCCAGAATGGAATAAGACAATGTTTGACTTAGTTAACATTAGTTTTCTTATCAAGAAAAAGGGAATAATAATAGCTAAAATTTATTTAGGTTTTGTCCTGATATCAGTTACTGTTTAAAAAATTTATTCTTCATAAGAACTCTATGTAATAGGTACTGAGATCACCTCCTGTTTTATAGATAGGGAAATAGCCAAGAATTTAAGCAATTTGTGCAAGGTCACTCAGCTAATCTGTGGGAGAGACTTTAATTGGAGAATCTAATAGTCTGCAGAGTGTGCGTTTAATTCCTAAAGTACATACTCTGTGTAAGCTTGCTTTTTTTGTGTACTAGGTATGGAACCCACAACTTTGTCTCTGCTAGGCAAGTACTCTTCCACTGACCTACATCACTAGCCCTTTAAGGGGTCACTATGGGAGTTAAAGAGATAAACTAATGAGTGTCTCATACACACACACACACAGAGCATAGTTCATAACCACCCAGTGTGAGAAAGCTATTCCTTACACGTGTTCCAGTGTAGAGACTTTTGAGAAAAACCACTGGGAGGCAATATTGTCATTCTTTTTGTTTCCTTTGTGACTTCATTCATACAGAGATTAAAAAAAACAAACAAGCCCTTTTCTTCTTCAAGCCTTGCACTATGTGGCTATGCCATTCTCTACTCTTTTGGGGTGTATCTTATAGTCTAAGTCTCTCTCCTCAAATTCCTTGCAGACATGGATACCTACTTCATGAACTTCACTTTCAGTTCAATTTTATTATTATTATTTTTTCTTGGTACCGGGGATTGAACTTGGGACCTTGTGCTTGCGAAGCAGGCAGTGGCACCACTGAGCTAAATCCCCGGCCTATTATTGTTATTTTGGATGTTTTTAGCACCCAATAGGATGGTCTGTTCTGGATAGGTATGGTTCATTCAGTCCTTCTTTAATTCATTCATTTATTCTACAAATAGTTAATGAACATATGTATGATGGCTAATTTTAGTTATCAATTTGACAAGATTAAGGAATACCTAGAGAACAGAGAAAAGATTATTTCTGAGTGCATCTGTGAAGAAGTTTTCAGAAGACACTGGTGTGTGAGTTGCAGGACTGAATGGGGAGGATTCACCCTGTAAGTGAGTGGGCACCATCCAACCAGCAGGGGCCCAGATAGAACACAAAGTGCAGAAGGAAGATGATTTCCTAATTTTGTAGCTGGCACACATTTCTTCTCATGCTTATGGACACGAGAACTACAGGTACATTGGTTTCAGGTCTCAGTGATTTGGCAAGATCCTGTCTCAAAATAAAAAATAAAAATGGACTGTGGATTTTGCCTTCGTTCAGTCCTCAGAACAGAAAGTGGGATAGGTGAAGAGAGGGAACCAATAGATGAATGAAGAGTGATAGAAGCTGAAGAAGAGCTAAGAGAAAGTAACTTCACAGAAGCCAAGGGAGGAAAGAAGATAGTTGTCAAAGGGTTATTAATGAAGATGAAGACTGAAAGGAGCGCATCAGATTTAGCAATCCGGAAGTCATTGATAATCTTTAGCAGAGCTATTTTAGTGGAATGGTTGGGCAGACAGAAAATTTCAGTGTGCTACAGAATCAGGTCCCTTGTCCCATTTTTCTGACTGTGTTAAGTTGCCCCACCACTACCCATCCTGCTGCCCAGAATAGGAACTTTGAGTCAGTCTGAGGCTTCTTCTGCTACACTCCCTCCTTCAAGTCAGCAGTAAGCTCTGCTTCTAGTTCTAATATCTCTGGAGTATATTCCTCTCCATCCCTGTGGCCACTGCCTGAGTTCAGATCCTCACTGTTTGCCTTAGGTCTCTGAAATAGAGTTCTCCTTGGTCCCCTCAGTCCAGTCTCACTCTGTCTTCCTCACTGTAGAGATGTCTCTAAGATACTACCTAACATTCCTTTAAGAATCCTCACAGGCTCCTAAAGTTTGTTTCTGACAGTCCTTTGCAGATTCTTTTTTTTTTTTTGAAGTAAAACATTTATTGTTACATTTTAGATATACATAATAATCACACATTCATCATAGGGAATTTGTACCTGTACATGGTGTATCTTGCTTCTTATTTTTTCCATTCCTCTCTCCCTTACAACCCTCTTCCCTTCATTATTTACAAAAGTTTTGTTTTCATTTTTCCTTCTATTTTCTCTTTTTTCTCTTGTCCTTTGTTCCCCCCCCCCCGCCGCCCCGTGCCCCTTCTCATTTGAATATTTTCTTCCCATTTCCCAATATCTATTATACATTTTGGTCATTATTTCCACTTTTGGTTTTTCACACAAGAGAAATAATGCATGTCTGATTTATTTCTCTGAAGAAGAGTATTTTCACTTAGAGTATGATCTTAAGGTGCATCTATTTACCTAGAAATGTCTCAAGCTTTTACTTCTTTATGGCAGAGTAATACTCCATTGTATAAAAAACCATACCTTCTTTATCTATTTGTCAGTTGATGGACATTTGGGCTGTTTCCAAGATTTAGCTATTACAAACTGTGTTGCTATAAACATGGGTGTGCAAAAATCGCTGTGGTATGATGCTTTTAATTCTTTTTTTTGGGGGGGGTATCCGGAATCAAACTCAGGATCTTGCACTTGCCAGGCAGCTGCAGTGCCACTGAGCTATATCCCTGGCCCCTGAAAAAGCTTTTTAATAAGATGAACTCTCAGTTATTGATTCTTTGTAGTATTTCCCATGTGGCCTGGGTTTTGTTCATGAAGTCTTTGGCTACTCCTATGTCATCAAGAGTTTCACCTATTCTCTCTTCCAGAAGATTTAGTGTTTGTTTTAATATTTAGATTTTTTTTATCCATTTCAATTTGAGTTTAGTGCATGGTGAAAGATATGGGTCTAGTTTCAATGTTCGACATGTGGAAAGCCAGTTTTTCCAGCACCATTTATTAAAGAAGCTATCTTTCCTCAGTGAGGGTGT